GGTATATGGCTGCAAGTGTTTTAAAGACTGCTACTTGAAAAAAAGCGCTTCTTAAGTACTTGCTCCTTCATTTTTGATTTTATGATGTTTAAACTATGTATTTAAAGAGTGAATTTGTAAAAAGTTGTTTCAGTAGCAATTGTATCGATCACGATGGGGATAGCTTATAAGTCAGCACTGCATTTTGCTGCATGTTACTTCTTGTTCCACATATAGTGATGAGTTCTTTTCCTCGATCGGTCCTGTTTGATCCTCAGTTATCCTTGAAATGTACTTGATCTAGTCTGTACAATATGTAACTCCTGTCTCATTTTGATTCTTTTGCAGAACTTAGCTTAGAAGGCGAGCAATGGAATGATGGCTTATTAGCAACAATAAGAGAGCGGGTATGTACAGTTAAATTATGTGATCCAGAGTGTCGGTTCTTCTCCAAGCTTGTTTATTCCTTAAGATATTTCTCTTTCCAACCAAGCAATCAGTAATCTTTCCTTTTTTGTCATCATATTAGAGGATGCCGGATTCAGACAGCTACATGTTTTAGCTTACTCTACTACTTTTCTGCTCCCGTTCTCAGATTCTATCACATAATTTTCTTGCATGGTTCAATCAATCTTAGGTACATATGGAGGCAGAGAGAAAGGCCATGCAGATGCCAGGGGACACAACCCAGTTGCCAAATCCTTTTCATGAAAAGATTACGTACAAAGTTGGGAATAAGGTATGTTGTGCCTGGTAGCTACAATTTATCATGGCTTATAGGAAAAATTATTTGTGAAAGATCCTTTAAGATCTTTAAGTTATGTGTTCTGATTTCTGGATTTCAAACCATTTTCTTGTAGTGTCTAATTCATTTGTTGATCTACTCTTCAGATTTCTTTCTTATAAAAAAAATTGTCGATCTACTCTTATTATTTGAGTAGTTTTGTGCTTTCTTTTCTTACTGCATCTTGGCTTTCCACATGTAGTTTAGTTTGGCTGGGTCTTTATTGTTTGCTGTGTTTACTATCAGGACAAGTTGGCAGTGCTGGAGGGGCTTGGAATTGTGAGGGATGTATACCTGACCTTTTTTTTTTAAATCCTATTTTTCTGTGCAGTTTATTTGTTGCTTAGATGGAGCAAGGATTGGCATACAATATGAGACTTCATTTGCAGGTACATCACGTGCTATTGTCTAGTGGTGGCTACAATTTTCCAGTTGGGAACATTCCAATACATATCTTGATATACCTGTACAAATTTCCCAAATGAAGTTTATTCTGTTGTAGGTGGGTTCAAAATTTGATTCTTCATCTAGATTACTAGTGAATGATGTCAATTTATCTAATTTACAGGCGAATCTTGTGACCTATACCACTGTGTGCTTGAAAGCAAGTCATTTCTTGAGAAGATGACTGTTCTGGAACATACAGTTCCTTTTTTCTTGCCAATACGTGAAGCTGAAAATGAGTTTCTCTCGTCAAATGCAATAGTATGGTCACTGCATCATTTGTGTTAGATCCTATTCTAACATGGTCATTGCTTCATTTGTATTAGATCCTAACTTTTTCCTGTATAGTACTGACTGGATACTTCTGAACTTGCATTCATGATTTCTTCAGAAATTTATTGACCATGTCGGAGATCTCTTGCAAGCCTATGTAGATAGAAGGGAACAGGTATGCCCTAACTTAGAGATAATGAATTACCAGAGTTCTTCCTTTTTGTTTGGGTGAACGATATCACTCAGCAGTTTCTTGCTCAGTCATGGCCTTAAATCACACACTTAATCTCCTTTCCCACTTTGCATTGGAGACTGTCTCCGAAGTCGTTAATCATTTGCTAGTTTCACAGAAGATTTGGTGGAATAATTAGGACAAAGTAGAGGCGATAGTTGAATTAAAGAGGTGGAATCACCATTGGAGTTGGACATTGGATGATGAAGAAAGGAACCTACAGATGCAAATACAGAGGATTTCAGCTTAACATTGTACTCCCTCCGTTTCAAAAAGATTGGCACTATTACTATTTGGGAAGTCTACGGTTGTTTTTTGACCACGTTTTTCTTAAATATTTTATAAATATTTTCAATTATGAATTATTATGACTTATAATATTTTTTATGTAGTTTCTGAAAGTATAAATTTTATTTAAAAAACTTGAAGAATCTATGTCCTAATTCACAGTCAAAGCTAAGGGCTTTGACCCTCGTACTCCGAACTACGCCATTCTTTTTGAAACGGAGGGAGTAATAAAGATAAAAATCTGAAACAGAAGATATCAATGGGAAAGCAGAGTAGAATGAGGCTTTTGGAATGTAGGGTATTTTATAATTCAGTACTTCAAAATAGAAAATCAACAATCTTTTTAGTATTCGAATGAAAATGATTTTGAGGGGGATGGATCTACTGTATGATGGATAACATACAGAGTATCCAGCTTTTGTAGTTCTTTAATAGGTTTTTCTTCAGTGCCGTTTAGGTACAAAGCTATTTTACCTCTCAAAAATATTTTTCATTGGCATGTTTGTATTGGTAAAATGCAACTTGTTCTTTTGCAGGTTCGGCTTATTAAAGAGCTGTATGGAAATCAAATCGGTGAACTCTATCATAGTCTTCCATACCATATGATCGAGTTTGTGCTTGAAGATTTTGATTCGTATGCTTTTCTTCCTTTCTGTTATTGTATCTTCCGTTTCACTATCCTTCATGAGAGGTTGGCTTTGTAGGTTTTATTCTCTTTTTTCCAACTTGGATCTTCCTTTTGTCATGGGTGGTCTTGTGAAGTACTGGACAGAAGCATTAAGTGAACCGGACTATGTTATTTAGGCTGCAGATGTAGGAATAAAGTTAGCTTTCTAATATCACTACTCAAAGAAACTAACAATACCGTGAACTATGAAGCGGCTAACTTGTATGGTATAACAATTGTGGTGCACAACTTGATTTAGCTTTGACTGGTGATAAAAGGTTTCAATTGTATCTCCCTATGATGCTCTCAGCCTATAACATAGCCTCACCCCGCTCTCCTGTTCGTGATATGTAGCGAATTTCTTCATTTTCTGGTTGGATCTTGTGTATACATGACTTGCCTTTGCGTGTGTCTAACTAACTACATTTTTGGATTGAGTGTTTCATTCAGATCTCATTATCTGTATGTATGCCAAAAGCGAATGTTTGATCTATAATCTTGGTTACTGAACAGACTGCAACTTATGGTTTAACCTGCAAACTCCAATTCTTACCAACATTTGGTTTCTTCTTGCAGGAAGGTGACAGTTAGTCTGAGATATGCTGATCTGATCTCTACACTTCCCTCTGGGGTTAGTGTCTTGGCATGGCCTATGCACCAATCCAAGAGATCCTCCGATACAATTCCCTCGAGTCAGAAAGGAAATGGAGTAGGAAGTCACCCTATCCCAGCACTTTTAACATACGCAGAGGATGCACTCCGGACCATGAGTCTGCCAGAAGGTTTTGCTTCTTTATCTGAATTCCCCCTGTTTACTTTACGTATTATTTGTTTGTCCAATGCATATTCTGTGTTAACCTTTAGGAAGAATTCTTAATATATTTCCTTTACATGGTAATGTAAAGGCTGAGTCACAAGAAGGCTTCTGGTGACTACATCTGCCTGTATGCTTTCTAGCTCTGGATAGATCAAGTTTAATTAATAAAGAATTACTGAACTGAGGTTAAACCCCTTATCTTATTGCCGAAGAGATGCATAGGATATTAAAATAGAGATTGAACCGATCCATGAGGTGGCAAGGCAACAATTATAAAGCTTTACTTTATATCAGAAATAGACTTAAAGTGGAGATGCAAAACTTTTTGCCTTCTTACTATTTGGAGAGCTGAAGACAATCTTCTTTAACCTCAGTTTTCAGGTTCTTTTTTCTGAAAAGTTATTCTATGAATCACTTTTTTTTCTTTTTCTTTTTGGGTCAAGGGTGGCGAAAGCAGTTAACGAAGTACGGCATTGATAAAATATGGAAAAGAGTGTCTTACCTTCTTCTCGAAAAAAAAGTATAGAGTAGAGTGAGAGTAAAGAACTCCCCAAGCTTCTTTGGATGTTGATTTACATTTAAAGTTGATTTTATGTATCGATTTGGACAAATTAGCAGCTGACACCTTGCTTCTTGCAGCATATGCAGAAATCGTGTTGAATCTTCCTCAAGCTCTGCAGGACATGTTTGAGCACACAAGCTCTACATAGTTGTATTTATTCATGGCCTGGAGTAGCAGCTGCTTCATCGCATTCTCTGTAGTGAATGCTGTGGTTGTTAACTGTATATTTTTACTTTATTTTTGATACTTGTATATTCTGAAAATCCAGTCTAGTGATTGTCTTCTTCCCTTAATATTGACTCTTTTACTTAGTTCAACAATTTGCCTTTGATATGTATTATATCCTTCATGTTTTGGGGAAGAAATGGGAGAGAATTTACAATTCACACATTGTGGGAAAACACATTTTGCTTTCCTTCCCTAACCCCACTCCCTTTCCTGCAAATGACAGTGCACCAGGTGAAGATAATATCAAGTTCTCTGCCTTATGATCTGCGCGAAAAGCTGCTATGGGAAACAGTTCGATTCTGAACTTGAGCTGCACTGCCGCATTCCGGTTGCACTTTGCTAAAGATGATAACCTACAAGTTTGATTGTTGAGCAACAGATGGNAAAAAAAAGGAGGGTGGGGGCGGGGGGATCTCAATTATTCAACCACACTCAGTGGTATTTATAAGGGGTTGTTCGAAGCATTCCCTATGAAATATGCCACAAAAGAGCAGAATTAAACTTGAGGAAATATTTTATACTTGTTACATATTTGAGGCTATCCACATGTGCATAACTATTCCCTCAAAACTCTCTAGTTTGGGTGAAGAAGGTGCCTGGTTAAGGGTTGATTTTGGATAGAACACTCTTGTGGGAGATCCAACAAGTTTTAGCTCAATTTGAAGAAGCATATAACAAACCAAGTGGTCACTGTCGAGCAGCAACAACCTTTATATTAGCTTCAACTAAGAGAAAAATATTCAGCATTTTCATTTCACCAGCAGTTGGAATATGAAAGCATTAAATACACACGGATCATACCGGGCAAGAATATTTCCTAAATAAAAGGTAATATTTCACAAACATACATGGTCCAGTAATACCATAGTTTTAGTCAATCATTTTGCTGCTTACAGTAGAGGTTGCAGCAGCTAGGAGAATAGTCCTTTTTCACATAAGCAATCACAGAAATAATGTGTGGCATTCAACACTCAGCCACAGGAAAAGCAGATCCAATGTTATCTCCCAAACGATAGCATTTAATATTAACAGGATATGGACCAATCTCAACATGGTTCTCTTCCCCTCCAACAAAGAAGCATAGAGTGTAGATAGCAACTTCAAATTCAGGGCTAACTCCAATCAAACTACTTGACACAGATTTTAGGACGCCGTTCCATTCAAACTGTATGGTCAGTAACTGAGTCTCTGAGTCGGGCTGCATTAGAAAGAAGGCAAAAGAGTTAACATGCTGAATGAATACAAATAGATACAGGAAAAACAAAAGTAGATATACTATATTTAGAACCCCTAGACTTCAGCCTCTAAGACCCAAATTAATAGTTGTATGACTTACAATCTCTCCGCGCCTTCGGGGGAAGATGTATCCTTGATAGTCAACACTGCCCTTAGCTTCCTCTAAATAGAACTGCAAACAACATAATGTATAAGAAGAATATATAAGCTCGCTAATTTCCCTTCTATAAGTCAGAAATTCTGCACTCACAATGCAGTTTATGGTGAAAAGCACATATACTAAGGAAAATTGGTAGAAGTTATGAACTCTATTGAACGGTGATTAGGCGAGTTGTTGTCCTGAATAAATTTGAAAATGCGCATTCTCTTTTGCAATGTCAGAATTAATTTTTTAGTGTAGGGGAAGAGTAATGTCATATATATACAAAATAAAATCCAGCTACTGAAGAGTGCAAAAGGTACTCATTTGGGTATGGCTCTTCAATTCTGCATTTTGTATTCAGATTCAGCGTGAAGGGGAGCCTTGGCGTAACTGGTAAAGTTGCTGCCATGTGACCAGGAGGTCACGGGTTTGAGCCATCGAAACAACCTCTTGCAGAAATGCAGGGTAAGGCTGCGTAGACCCTTATGGTCCGGTCCTTTCTCGAACCTCGCGCATAGCGGGAACTTAGTGCACCAGGCGCCCCTTTTATTCAGCAGTTTTAATCTATTTTGTCTAACTCCAAGATGACAAAGCTATATTCTTGAGGATCTTAATAGCTCTCTTTCACTCTGAAAGCTAAAAATGTTTTCCAGAAACTAATTCTAATCTTACTCAAGAACCAAAACTTGCCAATATAAGTCAGCAAACAGATAAAGCTGCTTGCTAATTTCAACTACTATTAGTTGGAGTTAATGAGAAATGCATAATCAATCAATTCCAACTATTTGTCCCTTTGCATCTAAAAGTCTTGTATATACTAGAGTATAAATGTAAATGCATCAAGTAGAAGAAAAGAATGAAGTGCACCTGAAGCCAGTTGTGAAATCCAGAAACTGATTTTTCCCCACGCTCCTTTATCTCTCCAACAAAAACATGTTCAAAAGCTGAAGAGCTAGCAGATGTACCACCTCGACTATAAAGGTCGAACCAGAGATGAGTCATCATTCTCTTAAACTCTTCATAATCACCAGAAACTACGCGTTTCAATGATAGATACTTGTGCAGATATTTTATTGGCGCAGTTCTACTGATCTCTTCTATGAATGCTGTTTGTTCTTGCTTCTCTTGAGGTGTTACATTCTCCTTACAACCCTGGTGCGGATTATAATTATCTAAAAGGGAACAGAAACGAGAATAAGTAGGCTTGTTAAATACATCGTCACTCAACCAGGAAAATAAACATCCTTCGGCCATATCTTCCTTTTGGTAAACCTTCTTTCCTTCACCGCAATCAATCTGGTAATCCTTTCCTGGAACTAAGCGGTTAAGATCAAGTTCCCAAAGCTTGTTGCATGCTCTCGATAAATCTGAAAGCTCTTCTTCGGAGGGTTCCATGCCAACTCCATATTCAACCTCATTTGAATATTCTTGCTCATCAACAGGCTTTTTGTAATTGTCCCAATAATCCATTTTAACCTGTTGCAGCATTTCAACCATTTCCATATGATGACAAGCGTAAATTTTAAATGCACAACTGAAAAGCTTGAAGAATTGACAAGTTGCTCTATCTGTTATTTTTCATCTGAGAGAAGTATATTTAGTTTCCCCTTGCTCTTTTGGGTGTATATACGGAGCAATATAGTTTTTTTCTCAGGGTAAGGTCTGCATACACACTACCCCGACCCCACTGGTGGGATTTCACTGAGTTTTTTGTTGTTGCTGTTGTTGTATATGGAGTAATATAGTTTTCCTACACATCTTTTACTTAGTAACAAGAAAACATAGCTTGTATTGTGGAAAGACATCTACTCCTTGTCTGTGTTTTAGACAGTAAAACTAGTTCACTAAGTTGTGAAATAATAACCTTTTGATGCCGTTTAGTAGGCTTTTTCTGGACCGTCTCCCAGCCGTCATTGTTTCCCTCGTCCTCCTGCAGGAATACCAGTAAAACATGAGGATACCTTCATGAGGAAGATCAAAATAGATATGATACTTGAGCAAGGCCAACCTTTTGATTGAAAGTATCCTGCCTCTCATCGTCATTTCTTTCGTACCCCTGAGGTGAAGCCTGCATGTTTTGAGATGGCTGAGAACCGTGACCATTCAAACAGAAAACATGCTACTTCACACTGACTACATAAGTATTTCACACCTGTGATATGATTATACTTATCTCTTCAATCCACTTGAGATCCTATACAAGACATGTCCTTTTATTTTTAAAAAAATTAATATGAAATAATTAAGGTCAAATTTTGTGGCCCTCCAACCAAGTTAATTGGTTAAAAACTTGCACCACATGCTGATGCAGTACCAATCCAACAGTTTTTTCTTATCAATTGGTGTTTACATTCTTGTTCTCTCAAATCGCGTAAATCAACTGTACAAGCAGCCCTGCACCTTCTTTGCACAAACAATAGTAGGAAAACAATCCCTGACCACTCCACCAAACACGTTCTTTGTATTAACTAATGCTACAGCAACAACAACAACTGTGTCTCGATCTCAAACTAGTTGGAAAAAACTATACGAGTCCTCTATATCTAATCCACTCTATTTGGTCCTTCTCGTTCCACTACATTTGGGTTAATTCATAAAGCAAGAACATCCAATCACACAACAGAAACAGACTCTATCGACAGATCAATGCCAAGTTAATCATCAATGCTGTAAAGATTCAAAATTTATTAATGAACTATATTTTAACCACAAAAACTACTCTAAAAGCAGGATTTTTTTTTTAAATAAGCACAAAATTCAAGACTTGGGTGTCTCATATTCATGAATTTTACACTACAGAATCACAAATACACTGTTAAAAATAACAAAATCAACCAAAAAAGAATACTTGTATGCACCTTTTGGGGCATCATGTGAGGCCTTGATTCACTTGATTTCCACTCCTCATTTCTCCCATATCTCCCCTCCTGCCAAAAATTCAAAATTAATAATTAAAAAAAATCAAAACTTTAATTCAAAAGTTAACAATAACTTATTTAATTAATTTAAAGTCAGACAGATCAAGAAAAACCAAATTAAAAACCTCTCTATTATATCCATGTTTACGATCGCTGCTAATCCCTTCATCTTCTTGATCCCCTGACACCACCTGCACATATTAGCATACTCCATTAGCACAGATTAAAAAAGGGAAGTTTTTTAAAGTGGCAGTGACGAGTGCTAACCTGCGCCCAAGTAGATCTTGACCGTTCATCACGATCACCAGATTGATTGTTCCTATCATCATTTTCATCATTGCCCAAAGCCACATTCAACAACCCCTTTACTAATCCTTCCATTGATGATCAAATCAACAACTATTCTTTTCCTCCTGTTTTTGGGAGATTGTCTTGAGAGAAATTGGTAGTGTGATCGGATTGTGTTTAATAATAGCAGTTGAATGAAGTTGGGATAGGCGGGTAATGGCATTTATGTGAATATTTTGAAGTTTGAGGTTTTTTTGACAATGTTTTGCCGACAGTAGGGACTTAAATGACTTAATGGAGAAAGTTGTTTGACTTCAAACTTAAGAAAGTCAAGAATATCTCAATACACAAATAAAAGCCAGCCATTTGTCATGTTTGATTTGGTTGATAATATAAGAAATATATTTAGCAATATCTCAATATTTATTTTAGCTTATTATATATATTACATAGAGAGATCATGGAAGCGGAAAAGGAAAGTGACAATGTGAATTAAACTTACGCGTAAAAACAAATTCATTGATAGTAGTTTGGCACAAAATAAATTAAATCATTTAGAAGTTAAGAGATAATTTGGACTATCTAAATTGCTCAAATTGACTCATAAGATAACTTTGTTAAAATACATAAATGTTGGTCTGGTTCGTGTTCATTCACTCTCTCTGTGAGAAAAAAAAGGTATTTATATGAATGGATAATTATTTAATTAAGAAAATAGTTAACAAATAAAAAAAATGAGTTTGAGTTTAGCGAGTTTAGCGGATGGGTTATAATACATTGTTTAGTACAAATTTTGGAAAAAAATAGGTCGTGATATGTTGTCCTGTCATAAATTCTATCCATATATATTCTAATCGTCAAGTTATACTATACCCGATTGCGTCTACACAAGAAAAAGCTGCCACTCGTTGGTTATTAGCGGCGTCTCAAAAATGTCCGGGTTAACTCAACCCATTTCGATGTATCCAAATTTCATACAAGCGTCAATTTGTGGTGACATATGATTTTCTCAAATTAGTAGGAAGCTTGAAGTTTGGATCTTTCCAAAGGAGAGTTGTGTTCATTATGCAATTGCAGTGTTTGAATGTAAAAAATCATATAAAAAATCATCAATAGGGGAAGATTCTTGCAAAGTTGTAAAGCGAATATGCGATACTACGGGCTAGCCACTTTTCAGACTAGCAATCGAAAAATAGCCAACATTTGTAAAGTTATTGAAAAATAGTCAATGTTTTGCTGAAACACATAAAGTTCCAGCATAATATGCAGGATTATGGAGATCATGCGTGTAAACTTCCAACATATTATGTTGGAACTCCAGCACACGTAAAGTTCCAGCATAATATGCGGGATTATGGAGCTCCTGCATATAAACTTCACGCATATTTTATGTTGGAACTCCAACACATTATGCTAGAAACTCATATGTAAAAAATTCAAACCCCAGCATATTATGCTGGAATATTTCCGGATCTTTAAGAGTGTTTTTGTTCAAATTTTATTTTTACATGAAAAAATAGCTAAATTTCCATTACTTTTGAATCGGTGACTATTTTTCAATTACCAGTTCTACATCTGGCTATTTATGATTTTTTTTCTCAATTTATTAAGGTTAAGAAAGTTATAATAAAATTTTGACAAAATTGTACAATATATTGTGGAACATATCACTGTGCCAAAAAAAGAAAGAATTATCTGGTCGACATTTCAATCTGTTTTCCTATTGATTCCACCTTTAACAGGAAGGTTTGGAAAAAGAAAACGCGTGACAAAGTTCATTAAAGACAAAAAATTGACTAATTTGCAAACTCAAACATGTTACTTGAGAAATGATATTGTTTTACAATCCAGTGATGTGGACACTTAAAGAAAATTAGGGCATGTTCAGAATTCTCTTGCCTAAACTTAAGACGTTTGAATGCAATCACAAAATACTGATAGGAAGAACTATAGCCATTTTTATTTTCATATTAACCAAAAAACAGAGAGTACCCAATAAACTTATACAATAAAGGAAAGCTTACACAAATGTCCCAAATAAATTTCAGCTTACCAACCTCTAGCCATTAATCATAGACTTACCAAAACTAACCAACAAAAATTGAAAAACCAAATAATAGAGTTCTTTCTCTCAAAGAATCACATGCAAAAATCACCTTCCATATTTTTAAGCATGATTAACAACACTAGATACAAGACGGAAAAGAAATTTTATAGATGAGGTAGTAAATAAGGTGATGAAATACAAAAAATATATACAATATTCCAAAAATCTAAACAAAAAAAGGAACTTTTCCAATGGGTATAGTTGAAATTCATTGAAAATATATAGATAAGCCAATATACAAAATTTGAGGAAGATTGGAGGTGGTTTGGACTGATTTTGTATCAAATTTCTTAATTAAATCGAGTTCAAAAAAGTCTGTTGCGACACATGTATCAAACATGTATCTCACACACAGGTATACATGGATATACATGTGATACACAATAGATATAAATATGATACATATGTGATACACAAATAATACACAGAGTGATACACATCATTTTTTTTCATATTCAATTTTTACCGAATTTTTAATTCAAACCACCTCAAAACTTCACCAAATCATTCCAAAGCTGAGATTCAAGATCCTTAAGTTGTGCCCAATCTATTCTAATAACACCCACTCAAAACAACGCAGAAAAATGATATTTTTTTGATATAGATAGCTAATTGGCTAATTTAGTAATATTTTATCAATTGGCCAATTTTTGTAATGACTACCTATAAATGGACATAGCTAGTAATTTCCCTACAATAAATTTCAACTCATTACATTGTAATCCGAATTATAACTTTATTGACTCTCAGGCTCTCCGTTGGGACACTCAAAGTCATAAAACTAAGTGAAGGTAAAATTTTAAAATATAATAATTACCGAGATTGAATATCTAGATTAGGGTATGCAAATAAGTGATGCTAACTTTGCCAAACTAGGATGTGTTAGTAATGTTGGTATTAGTTATGATCACATTAATTATGCGGGCAATAGTTATGCTGACATATTTTTTATCCATAATTTGGTTTAATATATTACAGTATTGCACAATTTCTAAAAGAATTATTTGTTTACAAAAATACCATCATAACTAGTCCATCATTGTTTTTAAAAAAGAAACATATGTTGGAAAATGTCTTTATATGAAAAAGCAGGGGCGGCTCAACGAAATTGGTTGCTTAAAGCTGAACATTAAGAAGAGGCCCAAAATTTATTTAATAAAATTTTATATATTTATGATTTCTTTTCTTTCTTGTTATTAATAGTTTTATGGACCGTCTTGTACGTATTTTGGCCCTTCACTCGGTTACCTGCTAGCTTCCACCATCGAAGATATCTAGTAACTTTACTCACATTGGTTTCAATTTTTTTTATAAAAAATATATGCAGTAAAAAAAAATATTTTTATAAGTTCCAAGCATCTAATGATCATAATTTTGTACTACTAAAGTATATTTTTAAAATAATTTTATACATTTGAAAGAGTTCAAGTTTATTTGAATTAAAAAAAGAAAGACTTGATCTACTTTTTATAAGAAATAATTTACTTTAAAAGATATTACAAAAGATTTGTTTTGTCTTTTTTTTTTATTATCAATGTCATCATCAAACTGCTATTTTGCCATATTGTATGTTTATCATGAAATTCAAGTATTTAACTAAATAACCTCTAACTACTATATCCAAAAAGAAAATGCATAAATCTAGTGTCTTTTTTAATAATTTTTTTTTAATAATATAAAATTAACTAATAATGAAAAATTGAGGCTTTCAATTAGGGTGGGG